ATGATTCTGGTGACTTGATTATTGCTACATCTGCTAGTCTGCTACGTTGTTAGGAATATTATCAACTCCTACCTCAAATACATAGTGGGAATGCCACTTATACACATATGCTAATCACTGTTCTCAGCACTTGACACATCTACTTACCTCCCTGGAAGTAGATACTACTTTTAACACTGCCCTCCCCCCACCCGTTTTATAGATGAAATAATTAAAATATGAAGAGATGGTTCATAGCAGCACTCTCAACAATAGCTAAAACATGGAAAGAGCCTAAGTGTCCATCAACGGACGAATGAATCAAGAAGATGTGGTTTATCTATACAATGGAATACTACATGGCAATGAGAAACAATGAAATCTGGCCATGTGTAGCAACATGGATGGACCCTGAGGGTGTTATGCTGAGCGAAATAAGTCAGNGTGTAGCAACATGGATGGACCCTGAGGGTGTTATGCTGAGCGAAATAAGTCAGGCAGAGAAGGACAAATATATGTTTGCACGTATAGGAGGATTAGGAGGAACTTGACGGACGAACAAGGGGGAGAAGAAGAGGGGAAATGGTGGGGGAAAGGGAGAGAGGCAAACCATGAGAGACTCTTGAATGCTGACAAAAACTGAGGACTGATGGATGTGGGGGGGAGGAGGGATGGGCATGGAGGAGGGCACTTATGGGGATGAGCACTGGGTGTTATGTGGAAACTAATTTGACAATAAACTATTTGTAAAAAAAAAAATAAAAAATAAAAAATAAAATAAAATATGAAGAGATGATTTAAGGGGCCCATGGCCCAAAGTCATAGGACCAGCAACTGGCATGGCCAGAATGTACAACAAAGTCTGAATCCTTGATACAGTTTCCTAACCTACGACAACAGTTGTATGCTCTGGTCAGTCAGAGCAAGTTGCTTCATTTTAGATACTGCATTTAAAGGACACTAATAGGGGCGCCTGGGGGGCTCAACGGTTAAGCAACTGACTCTTGATTTCAGCTCAGGTCATGATCTAGAGGTTTGCAAGATGAAGCCCTGCCTTGGGCTCTGCACTGACAGGGCAGAACTGCTTGGGATTCTCTCTCCCTTTCTCTCTCTCTCCCTCTCTCTCTTTTCTCTCTCTCTCAATCTCTGCCCCTACCCCGCTCACATCTCATACTCACACTCTCTCTCAAAATAAATAAATAAACTTAAAAAAAAATACGAAAGAACACTAACAAAACAGAATTGTCTAAAGAAAGGATGGGGAAATCTGATTAAACCATGAGGGGATGGGGTACCTGGCTGGCTCAGTCCATAGAGCATGAGAATCTTGACCTAGGGGCTGTGAGTTCCAGCCCTACACTGGGTGTAGAGATACTTTAAAAAAATAAAACCTTAAAAGAAAAAAACAAAAACAAAAACATGAGGGGACAAAGATTAGGACTGGGCTGTTTACTTACTTATAGCCTAAGTGGCATCAATTTGTAATATTTTGTCTGTCTCCCTTATTAGACTGTGAGCCCCTGAAATGTGGGGACCACGCAATCTTTTGAACAGTGCCCTCATGGTACCCAACTAAAGAAAGGGTTTAATAAATTAATTCATCAACCAATCTAGAGAAGACTTGATGACTGTCCCAGGAAATGAAAAGCTATTATGCGTGTTAGGTGGGGAAGAAACACGTAATACATGCTGCTGACTCAGAGTTGTACCCCAAGAAAACAGGTAACAGGGGAGGAGGAGGTGTTGGTACAGCCTCAACTCATTTTCTAGTGACCAAGACCTGTCCAGGAACAGAAAAACGGATTTGCAGTGTGAGACTGAGGACCAGAATACATTAGACAAAAGGTAGAATGGTCAATGGAGCCTCTAAGAGCTCTCTCTCCCCAAACTCAAATTCTACTAGTCTAAGTTATTCTTTCATTTTTCATACACTTCCCTTGACTAGTTACACAAGTCCCTAGTTCAGTACAGAGGAGATCACAGTGTTCTACACACTCCCACTGCCCTCAAGGATCTAGAGGACAGTAAAAACACAGGCGTGAATTATCTTCCAAAGAGGAAGGTAGCAGATGCGACAGGAATCAGCAAGGAATGAGATTTCCAGGCAGGAAACAAGAGGGAAGTGAACACAGGCATTATGAAAGAAGGGCCGTCATCTGAGCCACATCTTCAGGGACCCAGAGCAGGAGGTGGACTGTGGCTGCCACAGCAGCCTGGGGGAGAAAAGCATTCAGTATGGCGGTAACGGTCTGAGCACAGAGGAGGTAGGAAAGCCCTGGGGTGATGAGGACCCACCAGAAACAGTCAGTAACCTCTGGAGCTGAAAAAGAAAAGGCCTTTTGAGGACATTTGGTCAAACACACACATATTTTATGGATGTTGCCCTGCTTGCACTGCCTTAAGAAAGGTTCATATATGAGGCGTTTGAGTGGGTCAGTCCGTTGAGCATCCGACTTTGGCTCAGGTCATGATCTCACAGTTCATGGGACCCAGCCCCATGTCTGGCTCTGTGCTGACACCTTGAAGCCTGGAGCCTGCTTCGGATTCTGTGTCTCCCCCTCACTCTCTGCCCCTTCCCCACTCATGCTATCTCTCTCTGTCTCTCAAAAATAATAAACATTTTTTAAAAAGGTTCATTTACTTTCTTATATTACATTTTACAAATGAAAAACTCTCATCAATGACTGGTTTTTGCTTAGTTTTGTGTTGGGTTTTTTTTTTTTTTAAGACTAATAGTTCCTTCTCTTATTTCCTAGGAAATCTTTTAGATGATTCTGTTTTTCTTCCACTTATTAAAACTACCAGTTTTAATAACTCAGCTCTGAGCCTAACATTTATGATCCCTTAGTTATAATATTTACCTATAGTACAAAATTTAAAGTATACTGTAAAAACTATGATTTTATAAATAGAAGATTGTTAAGAAGAAACGGAGTCTCAAAAATAAATTTAAGTCTCAGATCCAAGGAACTATCTGTCACTCAACTTATAAATTGTGAGACTGAGCCACTCAAGAAAATAGAGTTATCAAACTGAAGCAAAAAAAAGCTTAAATCCAAACTAACGAACGAAACATAACACATATGAACAATAAACTTAATGTTCTTCTGGCCAATCATTTCTCAACATCCCTGTCAAACTATTTTAAGGGTCTGAAATCTTGCTCTATAAAAAGTAAGTTCCCATCATCTGAACTACACTTAAGAGATTCTATCGCAGTGGTTACTGAAGCATAAACACCAACCTTCAGATTTTTGCTTCCCATTAGTATAAAAAATGCTTGCCTCTTTCACATAAAGTGGAGTCTGTGGCCAAAATCCTGACTTACCGGGAGATCTGGTAAGTCTAACACTATTTAAAGATGTAAGGTTAGCAAAGGCCTTTTCTCTATTTACCACTTAGATTGTAACATGGAGGTACAATATTTGACACCTCCCTCACCAACTGCCACTTCAAAGCATTTCTGGCTTTGGTTAACTTTAGTTGGGGAGATATAAAGCTAGGGCTGAAAACTCTTCGGTAAAAATTAAAACTTTAAAAATCAAAAATAGTGCTGCACATCAGCTGATACACTATGAATTACTGAAACAGATTTGAGTTTTTAAAAAAAAGAAAGGTCCCATTACACGATTTTATGAAAACAAATAGGCCAACAGCTCACAAAAATTTAAATCTTTCTTGGCAAATGGAGAAGATAAATAATTTTTAGGAACTCTGGGACACTGTGGTTTTGTTTTTATCTATAAGGTCTCTGCATCAATGTTACTACTCTCCCACTGCTTTTATGAGCCAAAGGAGCCCAATGTCCAGGATCCCTCCTACAAAGAGCTCAGTAAATGTCACAAATAATAATAGTAATAAAGGCAGCAATCTCTAAAGCTAGAATGTATACCGTACTGTATAGCACCAGAATAGGGGGAAGGCACATGGCAGCCTGCAACTATTTCTCCCTCTGCCTTCTGCATCACTGCCTCCCAAAGGACTAGAGAATCCAAATCTCTCACTGCCACATCTACAAATTAAAGTATCGTGATTAAAGAGCTCACGAGTTCTCGGAACGGTCCGTATTTAATGATGGAACCCCGCAACAGAGAAATTCATCCAGATGCAACAAAACATGCTTCAAGGATCCACCTAAGTGTTTTTTTTTTTTTAATCTTAGAAATAAACACAACTATTTTAATAACATTATGTAATAAGTTAGACTCTGGAAAACCCCATATTCATCCGAGCAGCTCGAAAAATGGAAAGCAAAATTCGATTAGCTCCATTGTACCCAACCAGGCTAACGTGCAAGATCACACACTCCTCTTCGTCAGAACGGCTCTGCCAATACCAAAGAACAACAAAGGCAAGTTGAGGAGGCTGCACAAGGCTTAACTCAGCACTTGTCCGCTTTCCCAGCTTTGGAAAGAAGCTCTGTGCGGGCCCCAGGGACCGAGGGACCCTCTGCATCCTGCCCGGTCCCCGGCTCGGCTTGGCGCCGCTCGCTCAGCTTTTGTCTGGCCCGGCTGGGAGCCCCGGCCGCCCGCCTCCCCGGCACCCCTTCCCTCTGGATCTTTCTCCACACCCATCACTCGCCGATGACTAGTTGTTATGGGTTTCTCTCTCGCGCCCCCTCCCCTCGCAATCCCGGGCTCTTTTCAAATGCGACTGGCTGTTCGCTGGCTTCTCCCACCGGGCCGGTAAGACTCGGGTCAGGAAGGGGGCCCGGGGTGGGGTCTGGGAAAGGAAAAGAGAGAGGGGCACACAAAGCCGGGCTGACCCCAGAGTCGCCCCCTCCTCCCTCTGCAAAGCAGCCTGGGATCAGCGAACCTACCGGCGGGATAAACAACCCTCCCATCCCGCTCCCCGCCCGGCTCCCACCTAAGGGCCGCCCCCACCCCCCAAAGTGCACCCAAGAGCCGATGACAGCGCTGGACATCGCCCTCACCCAGACCCGGCGTCTGCTGCCGCAAGGCGAGGGGGCCAGGGCCTCGGAAGGCTGGATCTAAATCTCCTCTCCCTAACCGGGTACTTACAGCCGTATTATTCGCTACTGTTGCCGCTGCGGACCAAACAGCCGCCGCCTTCTCCTCCACCCCAATGAGGTTAAGCGCTTGGTGCGGGGATTAAAAAAAAAAAAAAAAAAAAAAGAAGCCGAGAGCGCCTGCGCAGTGCAGTCTCCCTTTTACCGCCACCGACCCGGCTGGACCATAGAGAGTGTAAACCAAGACCAGAGAGGCGGCTGCTCTCTATGGTAACGCCCCGCGCAGGCGCCAGCCGGCCTGTGCTGGGCTTCGGGAGCTGCAGAGTCCCAGGAGCTTTTGCCTCCTCCGAGGACGTTAGTTGACCCCGATAGGGACCCGTAGAATAAAGGTTCTTTAAGAGAAGGGCGGCGAAGGTGCCGCTGGGGCCCCAGCGAAGTTGCGGCAAAACTCAGGCTAGGCCGGGAGGGTCGGATGTAGTGGCCGCGGCGACAGGGCGCCACAAAGCAGGGAGTGTAGTGAATAGAGCTGAGTGGGAGTCGCGAAAGCCTGGATAAAAGTCATCTGGCCGGGACTTCCTGCGATCGGGGTCTAATAACCTGAAGGAAACGGGCTTTCACTTCTGGGTTACGCGCGTCCCGCCCGACCGTCGGGCGACTAAGATGAAGGGAATTGGGCCCTGCGACTTTCCGTACCGTGGCTTACGGCGGTTCTCCCTTCCCTTTTCGGCGAGGCTCGGACCCTTGAGCCGGAAGCACAATTTCTTAACGGTTCTCTGCCGTTCTTGGAGCGGAGTCGACCCCGTCGAGGCCTCGGAGGCTCTGGAGACAGGCAGCCACAACCCCTTTTTCTCTCGAGCGCCTGCACCAATAACGCCGCCTCTGTCTTCCCTCTCGCGTTACTTCGTGATGACATGTGAGAAAGCGTTTCGGAGGGTAGAAAGCTGTGCAAATTATAGGGCTGCCCATAAGGATCCTGAAGGACCCAGTTTTGCCGCGTCGAACCCCTATGTTCGCAGGTAATTTGACAGGGAGCTTTTGTGTAGCGTTAACACACTGTCTCAACGAATTCACCTTTTGGGAACGTGAGCTGACTTCCCTCCCATCTCGATGTCCAGCGCCTTGGGTTTTCACCGGGAGCTCTGGAAGGCCGAGCTCCCTGGGGGCGGCGTGTTCTGTGTTAGAAGAGGGGTGCGGCAGAACGGTGAGATGACGCCCCTGGAACTCAGGGCTTAAACGTTAAGGTCGGCGAGACTAAGCTACGACAAGAAAGGCACGCGTTCGCTCGTCTCTGCAGTGCGGGAAAGGGGGAGGACTGTGGTCTGAAGGTGGAAGTAAGCGTGTCATGGAGAATGTGAGTCCTGGTTGGATCTCTAAAAGGGAACATCTTTGGGGGGCGAAAGCACCACCTTTTGAAAATGAATGGGTGCTGGTGAAAGCACTTCGGAGAGGAAACTCTTCAGAGCAAAGGCTGAAAAGGGAGCGTTTTATGGGGAGTACAGTGAAGGCACCAGCGTTTTAAGGGGAGTATAGTGAACGCAGCAGTCTAACTGAAAGGCGGTGGGGGGGGAGGTGGGGTTTCAGGAGAAGAGTGAAAAGCAAGGTCTGACAAATAGAATGGGGGAAATGTTTTTGTAACTTTTAATACGGTAACATACACACAACATAAAATTTACCATTTTAACCACTCTTAAACTGCGGAGATCAGTAAGGTACCATTGCATTGCTGGGCAACCGTCTCCAGAACTCCTTTCATCTTAGAAAACTGCAGTTCTGTACCTTTTAAACAGCTCCTCAATCCCCACTCCCCCAACTCTGGGCAACCACCAGTCTGCCTCTGAACTTGACAACTCAGATACCTCATATAAGTGGAATCATACTATTTGACTCTTTATGACTGGCTTATTTCATTCAGCATAAATGTCGTCAGGGCACTTCCATGTTGTAGTTTGTCAGAATTTCCTTTTTCTTTTCAAAGCCAAGTTCTATTCCATTGTGTGTATGTATCAGGATGAATACTTGGGTTACCGACATCTTTTGATTATGGCAAAAGATGCTGCTACGAACGTGGGTGTAAGATGTCTCTGAGACCCTGCTTCCAGTAAGATGGGGAAGACTTAGGAACTAAGTAGAGAAAGCCATACTCTTTCATGTCCTCAACTGGGGATAGTAACACAGCCAGAGAACTGTTTTAGCAAGTGACTCCGTTAGTGGAAGCTCAATACATACTCGATTTACGCAGAGCAGCTACGGAGGCTTTAAGGTCTCCTAGGAATTGTTCTACTTCATGTAAAGTATTGGTGTGTCATTGAATCCATCAAAATAAACATGAGCCGATTGTTATTCACCACATGTACCAGTGAGAAAAATCAAGATTCCGGGTTACAAACAGGCTGTGGGGAGACTCACCAGCCCCCCCCACACACACACACACAAATGATTAGGAAACAAAATTTCCATGGGAGCTGGGCACCCTTGGGCACTGACTACTCACTGATTTGGACAAGGAGAATGAAAGAAAACAATTCAGTTGTTAAGGGAGAGTCTTAACAGAAGAAAGAATAGGCTGACATCACAAGCTATCACTCAGATTACTGGTATGTGTAAGGGCTTAACACGGCAAAACTGCATCATCCAAGGTCCCTAAAAGAACTCTGAGGTTTGATTCCAGGTGTGTTCATGGCCCTTAAAAAACATAAAATGCCAGGTAATTATGTCTTTGCATGTACTGGAGAAATTAATAAGACACATCATTTCCTACTCAACATTTCATCTTTCATTTTCCATTCTCAGAAATCCTATGAGATAATTCAAAGCAATGATCCATTTGGCAGCTGAGGAAATAAATGTCCAGAAAGGAAAACAATTTGTCCTATGCCACCTGGCTTCTTAGTACCAAGGCTGCAACTAAAATGTGAACCTTTCTGCTTTGATCACAGGTGCAGAGATAGAGACCACGGTCTTGAGTGAGTGGATACTGTTTCTATTCAACCAGCCTTGTCTTCCTCAGAGATACATACCCAAACTTAAGAAGCTAGCTCCAGCTAAACAACCACAGAATATGAGTGAGGTTTTTTTTAAAAGATTCTTTTATGTTTATTTATTTTTGAGAGAGAGAGGGGGACACAGAATCCAAAGCAGGCTCCAGGCTCTGAGCTGTCAGAACAAACCCTGATGTGGGGCTCGAACTCATCAACCACAAACTCATGACCTGAGCCAAACTCTTACACTTAACCAACTGAGCCACCCAGGTGCCCCTGTCAGTGAATTTTAAGTAGCATTCATACACTCAAAAATGGCCAGCTATGTGCCAAACACTAAGCAAAGCAGGGAGAAAAATCCCTATTCTCAGAACAGATAGAAAATAAAATAGTAAATAAAATATAAACTATGTCAGGTAGAGTAAGTATTATGGGGGGAAAATGAAGCAGTAAGGGAGAAATGAGTGCTAAGGATAGGGAAAGAGATTTCTCTTTAAACAAGACTGGGGCGGGGGGCACTGAGAAACCAACTTTAAGCACTGATCTGAAGGAGGTAAGGGAGCAAGAAATGTCCTTTATCTAGGAGAACATTCCAGTGGTAAGAATGGCAAGCACAGAAATCATTCTGAGGCTCCAGGAAGATGTCTACTACATTCTACGAACAGAAAGGAGGCCAGAGTGAAAGAAGTGGAGTGTGGGAGGGGAAAAGTAGGAAACGAGGTCAGAGGTAACAGGATGCCAAATTGTGTAGGGATTTACAGGGCATTGTAAGAATTTTGGCTTTTACTGAGACGGAAAGCCATTGGAAGATTTTGAGGAGAGAAGTAAAATGACTAGTATTTTATAAAGAATCACTTTAGCTTCAGTTTTGAGAATAGACTGTTAGGAAGTGAGGGAGTTTTGAGAATAGATTATAGGGGAGCAAGAGGGACAACTTAGGAGGCCATTGCAATTCTGCATATGAGAGACAACAGTGGCTTCGGAAAAGTGCAAGCAGTAGACTGATGGCACAGGATTTGATGAATCGATTGATACAGGGTATAAGCAAAAGGGGAATTAGGGGACTCCAAGATTTTTGGACAGAGTAGTTTGAAGAATGGAATTGTCATTTACTGAAGTGGCAACGCTGGGACAAGCAGGTCGGGGATTGAAAGTCCTAAGAAATCCAGTATGGGAGCTGTTAAAAGCTTATTACCGTATGAAAATACCAAGGCAGATATTTGAGTCTGGAGTTGAGAAGAAAGGTCTAGGCTGGATTTGGGAGACACTAACATGTAGAGAGTTTTAAAAGCCATGAGGTCTTCTAGACAAAAAGTGTAGACAAAAATTTGTAAAAGTTAGCTGAAGACTGAGCCCTGAAGTGTCCTAGCATTTAGGGACTGAGCCGGTAATGAAAGAGCAAAGGAGACAGAAAGGGCAGCCACTGAAATAAGGGGAAGCCAAGAAGGGCACCTGGGAAGAGCAACCAAGTCAATTGCTAATGGGCTATAATTGACTGTTGGCCACGAGTGGTGAGGATGGAAGCCTGATTGGAATGGGTTCAAAAAAGAATGTAGGAACAGAGCTGGAAAGAGGGAGCATAGATCATTTGGAGGAGTTGGATTTTAAGGGTGGGGGAGCAGAAAAGTGGGGTGATATTTTAAGGGCAGGTGGGGTCAAGAGAATTTTTAAATTATTTCATCCACAAATATTTAGTATTTCTAAAAGATATGATTTTTTTTAATTTTAAAAAAATGTTTATTTTGAGAGAGAGTGCATGAGCAGGAGAGGGACAGAGAGAGGAAAGAGAATCCCAAGCAGTCTTTGCACTCAGTGCAGAAGAGCCATTGTGGGGCCTGAACTCACCAGCCATAAGAGCAGGACCTGAGCTGAAATCAAGGGTTGGAGGGGCACCTGGGTGGCTTGGCTTAGGTCATGATCCCAGTTTGTGGGTTCGAGCCACGTGTCGGGCTCTGTGCTGACAGAGCCTGGAGCCTGCTTTGGATTCTGTGTCTTCCTCTCTCTCTGCCCCTCCTCCACTCGTTCTCTGTCTCTCAATATAAAATAAAGATATAGAAAAAAAAATTTTTTTAAGGAAAAAAGAGTTCTGTTGCTTAAAAAAAAAATCAAGAGTTGGACACTCCAGGGACACCTGGGAGCCTCAGTTGGTTA